CATTAAAATACTTGAAGCGGTAAGATCTGCAAATTATGCTGCTAGTCACAGATCATGTTTAAAACATGATCAATCTTGTGGTTAATACGTTAGGTGTAGTCCCACATCCCAACCTGTTTCAACTGTGCTGGTGCAGGACCATGGCCACAAAACAAAACAACCATGTCGGCCGTTGCAGTGGGAACTTTTACAAAGTGTGTGGAAAGTCAATATAATGTACGCCATCTGCAATTGCAGGGCTCCAGACTAAACTTTTTCCACTGGCTTTGCAGCCCATGATTAGGTTCGCTCCTTTTTTAGAAATACAAGGTCCTATTTCTTACATGAGGAGGAGGCTGCTTCCAGGCTTCCTCTTCTTCATTAATGTTAAAACAAAAAATGTAAAATTTATATCACTACATTTCATATGAGAGTACAAAATACATTATGGTTTTTTGTAAAAGCACACTAATAAAAACCTGTTACTGAATCATGACAAAGTTTCAGAACGACAGAAGAACACAGTGGAGGGGCCTAGGGCAGTCGCTAGTGTAAACCCAATAGTAACTCACTCAACACCTGTCTGTGGTACACATGGGCACGGAGGAGAGCAGGCAGAAAGGAATGAATGAAATGACAGATTTATGGAAGATTTTCTCGCTTTGCTTGAGGGGTGGTCTGAAGAATTCAGTGTTTCTCTGTCTTGTCTTTCATCGTCTTATCACGCAGGCGACCTTTAAAACAAACCCTTTCAAACCACGAAGCAAAATGATTTACAGTTTAGTGTAAAATTGTGCTCATTTGCGACTAGTTAAGAGGACTGTGTATGCTACCTTCATATGCTATTAAGGTTTACTGGAGAGAGTATAATATTTTAGTAATATTAGTGAAATATAGATTTGTAATAATGATTGAAATGATGTGGAAGGGGACGCAGGCAAGCCAGGTACAACCATTGCTATCATACTGCCAGACACGGTTCGGAGTTTAGCCCAGTGGTTCTCGTCTGTCCCTGTGTGCTACCTGCATTCTGATGAAAGCTCAAGTAGTCAGAGCGATGGAGCCAGTGGAGGGAAAAAAAAAAACAAACTTTCAACTACAACACAGTAAACGTGGGGCACCACCCACCAAACAGCGTTGCATGTGTTATTTTAACTCACACCACTCACAAAAAATAGTCGCATATGTGTTGCAGGTTTGAGCCCCGCAATGTCTGCCAAAAGTGATCGTATCGGCCGATCTCACTCATACATGATCGTATCGGTGGCAAAAAAAAAAAACGTGATCGGGGATCCTAGTACAGGAGCATTAAACTATGTTGAATAATAAAACTTCTGGCATAGTTTTATAATGTATTAATTTCAAAAACAATTAGTTATACAGTAACATTAATTTTGAGTTGTTACCTTCTGATTAAAAGGCCACTTGAGGAGTGCGTCGCTGTGTCCTCTCATCACCACAAAGAACAGAGACAGGTGGTGCCGCGGCGGTCCCATCGCCGGTTCAGGTAGATCCGCAGGCACATCTTGTAAGCCGTATTTACTGGTATAAAAGGCTGGAAAACACCAATGAAGTATAATCATGTCTGTTATTCACTGCTAATCAGACAGGACAGCTCATCATTGTCTGGATTATAAATCAAGATGTTATCCATCACTGTGAAGCTGTTACCAGGAGAGAACATAGCGGGGGCACGAGCCGGGGTGCCGCTTCTGTGCACACTGGCGTCCTGTCTCTTCGTTGGTGAAATCTGAGATCTTCCAGACAAAGATGCCGTCGTACGTGGCCGCAGACATCTCCTCATTTTCCCCTCCATCTCCACGATGGACAGGTCTCTGAGACTCACCGTCCTCTCCAGCTGACGAACCTGCAGCATAGCGACACGTCAACAAGGCAGTTTGTTTTAACGTGACGCGCTGTCTTTCAGTTTTCAGTTCGAACCAAACTGAACTTCCCTGATGTGTAGAGTGTTGCAGTGTAATGTGATGAGCAAACATCTGATGAAGCTTTTTTGCAATGATTCTATGGAGCTAAATATAATGAGAAAACTTATAATTGTGGAAAAAAAAAAAAAAAAACAGGATGGGAATGACAGGGACCTTTGACAGACTCATAGATGATAGTGAGTATATTTTCATTTCTGTGTCATTAACAATAAGGGTTGGGTCGGGAAAAAAAATTCACATAAAAATACCCAGTTTTATAATTCTACTAATGAGAAGTGCTTAACAAATATCAAAAATGGATGAGTTAGTTAATAACTTCATGTTGATAGAAAGTGCGAGGGACAGTGCAAGCACCCGGTCAAGTGAACAGCACGCACATACTACAGTAAACATGTAGTTCATTTTCAAAAAGGCAAACATTTAGCAAAATTTGGGATTTAATGACTTCTTGAATGAATTCTTCATGCCCCATCATATTTTCTAGTGTTGTCTAGTCTGTTCATTCATCAAGCCCTGCACAGCAGTGTGTGTGACACACAGCTCACAGATTCACTGAACGCACCTTAAGTAGCAAAATGAAGCTGTTTTGATTCTAACAGCATCACAACTTGAAATTACAGCAGTTAAACCAAGACACTAAAAATATGAAAAACCATCCCTGTGTGATAATGTTTGAGGAGGCGCATTTTGTCTCCTTTCAGTGTCACACTTTGCAGCCCCGCTGTGATTTTCATCAGACCAGTGGTTTTCAGAGGCTCATGTGTCATTTTGTCACCTTGTTGTTGAGATCTCGATCTTGTCCTGGTCAGTCGGTGTTGGCGGTTGATAGCCTCCAGGTGGTGCAGGAACGCTCCATCTCTCGGTTGAGGACTGCAGACGATGTTTCTCGAACGTGCTCATTTAGCTCCAGCTCCTGGCAGCGCCGGCTCAGCTCCGCCACTTTGGTCTTTTCACTCTGGAGCTGTAACTCCAGGGCGGCGCCCATGGCGCTGGGCAGCGGGGTGAAGGAGGTGGCCAGGGTCGGGGCGCACGCACCCTGCACAGGAGCTGCACCCCCCCTCCACCCAGCTGGCTCATCTTCTGCTCCAGTCCCTGAGGGACTGGTGGAGCTCCTGCAGCTTGTGGCTGGCGACCTCCAGGCTCTGGGGCTGCAGGCTTTCCAGGCTCACCTTGATGCCCATGATGAAATGCAGAAGCAGGTTGGGTGTTCGTAGGAACACTGGCGCTCATGGTCATGCAATCTTCTCTTTCTCCACCTTCAAGTCAAAGAAAGATATAAGCAGAGACACATTGAGAACACAGAGAGAACAGTCCTTATCCACTACATACATGTCAGCAGAAATGACATCTTAATGACGTGTGTGAACAGAAAGAATAGTAAAAGCACACAGAAAAGAAATAATAAAGCTAATAATGGATACATATACTATACAAAGTATTTATCCTACAGTTTTTTCATGGTTTTTGTTTAACCTCACTGATACTGAGCAACAGAAAAATGACTTGATGTCAAAGTGTGAAAACAGATCTCATAAATTAAGTACAATATAAACCACAGATATTCACAACCTTTTACTATGGCATGTTTGGCAAGTCCAAATTAAGTTGAGTGGAGACTAGAGTATTGTGATTAATCTTAAGGTTAAATACACCTGGTGGTCCAAACAGTTTCTGGGTCAAAAACTACAGAATGGCAAACTAATCTGGAATATAAAAATGAAATTGCATGAGGATACAAGAAAGGCAAAGTACATCCGTCTGAGTACAGTGAGGTCAGTCATAAACACTGTACAGGTGCACATCTGGCTAGAGAAGGTAGTGCTTGAAAACTGAGGGGCTTGGTTACTTAAAGAACTAGTTTTTATGACGTGACAAAGCTCACATGACGTCTGGGCTAGTGGTTATTTCAGTCTTCCACATCCCTCAAGTCCAATGTCGACGGTGGCAAGAAACAGAAGGTGAACCTTTTGCAAATTTTGTCAATCTTCATCTAAGTTACAATTATAAAAAAACACAATCTATTTTAATTAATAACACACAGATCGTTGTATTGGTCTTGTTCATAATGAAAACAGGTTGGTTGGAAAAGTATGAACTCCTCAGGTTACATACTTTTCCAGTTAGCAAATGTCAATGAAAGCAGATTGGAGATGTAGGTCAGAGCCATTTTTGACTTATAAACAACAAACACACAAAACATGATTGGGTCTGAAGATTACAAGCTTGAAAAGTAACAAAGTGGGCGGTGTGGAGTTAAAAAAGACGCCTCTGCTGCAGGCTACAGGGGCCGGGCTAACATTAGCTGTACACCTGTGAATGGATCTTGTGTTACTGCGTGTGAAGCCCATGTTTGTATATATGCACAATGCCTATGTCAAGTTTTCACCTGTTTTGAACTCCTTCATGTGTTACTTAACACCTGAGATGGGTGTGGTTTGGCTTTTTGACACTGATGAACAGAAAGAGTGAAAACAAATTAGATCAGTTCGTGGAAACTTCAGTACAAATATGAAACAAACTGTATTTTGTAGAAGCACCTTTGGTGGCAGTAACAGTTTTAAAAGAGTACTCTTCCAGTTTAACATTGGCCTCCCTTTGACATTGTTAGACTCTCTGTGGACAGTTTTTCCAAATTTGGTGCATACATTACCAACAATGCATCTTGATAGCCGGCAGTTTTGCTCAGAGATCTGGGTGTGTTATTCTATAGTAGCAGCTAATGTAGCCCGGCCCCTGTAGCCTGCAGCAGAGGCGTCTTTTTTAACTCCACACCCCCCACTTTGTTACTTTTCAAGCTTGTAATCTTCAGACCCAATCATGTTTGTGTGTTTGTTGTTATAAGTCAAAAATGGCTCTGACCTACATCTCCAATCTGCTTTCATTGACATTTGCTAACTGGAAAAGTATGTAAACCTGAGGAGTTGATACTTTTCCAACCAACCTGTTTTCATTATGAACAAGACCAATACAACGATCTGTGTGTTGTTAATTAAAATAGATTGTGTTTTTTTATAATTGTAACTTAGATGAAGATCTGACCAAATTTGCAAAAGGTTCACCTTCTGTTTCTTGCCCCCGTCACATTGACTCGAGGGCATGTGGAAGACTGAAATAAACACTAGCCCAGACGTCATGTGAGCTTTGTCACGTCATAAAAACTAGTTCTTTAAGTAAACCACAGCCCCTCAGTTTTCAAGCACTACCTTCTCTAGCCAGATGTGCACCTGTACAGTGTTTTATGACTGACCTCACTGTACTCAGACGGATGTACTTTGCCTTTCTTGTATCCTCATGCAATTTCATTTTTATTATTCCAGATTAGTTTGGCCATTCTGTAGTTTTTGACCAGAAACTGTTGGACCACCAGGTGTATTTAACCTTAGATTAATCACATACTCTAGTCTCCACTCAACTTAATTTGGGACTTGCCAAAACATGCCATAGTAAAGGTTGTGAATATCTGTGGTTTATATTTGTACTTAATTTATGAGATCTGTTTTCACTTTGACATCAAGTCATTTTTCTGTTGCTCAGTATCAGTGAGGTTAAACAAAAACCATGAAAAAACTGTAGGATAAATACTTTGTATAGTATATGTATCCATTATTAGCTTTATTATTTCTTTTCTGTGTGCTTTTACTATTCTTCTGTTCACACACGTCATTAAGATGTCATTTCTGCTGACATGTATGTAGTGGATAAGGACTGTTCTCTCTGTGTTCTCAATGTGTCTCTGCTTGTATCTTTCTTTGACTTGAAGGTGGAGAAAGAGAAGATTCATGACCATGAGCGCCAGTGTTCCTACGAACACCTCAACCTGCTTCTGCATTTCATCATGGGCATCAAGGTGAGCCTGGAAAGCCTGCAGCCCCAGAGCCTGGAGGTCGCCAGCCACAAGCTGCAGGAGCTCCACCAGTCCCTCAGGGACCTGGAGCAGAAGATGAGCCAGCTGGGTGGAGGGGGGGGTGCAGCTCCCGTGCAGGGTGCGTGCGCCCCGACCCTGGCCACCTCCTTCACCCCGCTGCCCAGCGCCATGGGCGCCGCCCTGGAGTTACAGCTCCAGAGTGAAAAGACCAAAGTGGCGGAGCTGAGCCGGCGCTGCCAGGAGCTGGAGCTCAAGGTGAGCACGTTCGAGAACATCGTCTGCGTCCTCAACCGAGAGATGGAGCGTTCCTGCACCACCATGGAGGCCTACAACCGCCAACACCGACTGGACCAGGACAAGATCGAGATCCTCAACAACAAGGTGACAAAATGACACATGAGCTCTGAAAACCACTGGTCTGATGAAAATCACAGCGGGGCTGCAAAGTGTGACACTGAAAGGAGACAAATGCGCCTCCTCAAACATATCACACAGGGATGGTTTATCATATTTTTAGTGTCTTGGTTTAACTGCTGTAATTTCAAGTTGTGATGCTGTTAGAATCAAAAACAGCTTCATTTTGCTACTTAAGGTGCGTTCAGTGAATCTGTGAGCTGTGTGTCACACACACTGCTGGTGCAGGGCTTGATGAATGAAACAGACTACACTAGAAAATATGATGGGGCATGAAGAATTCATTCAAGAAGTCATTAAATCCCAAATTTTGCTAAATGTTTGCCTTTTTGAAAATGAACTACATGTTTACTGTAGTATGTGCGTGCTGTTCACTGTCCGGGTGCTGCACTGTGCCCTCGCACTTCTATCAACATGAAGTTATTAACTAACTCATCCATTTTTGATATTTGTTAAGCACTTCTCATTAGTAGAATTATAAAACTGGGTATTTTTATGTGAATTTTTTTTCCCCACCCAACCCTTATTGTTAAGACACCAGAAATGAAAATATACTCACTATCATCTATGAGTCTGTCAAAGGTCCCTGTCATTCCATCCTGTTTTTTTTTTTTTTTCCACAATATAAGTTTTCTCATTATATTTAGCTCCATAGAATCATTGCAAAAAGCTTCATCAGATGTTTGCTCATCACATTACACTGCAACACTCTACACATCAGGGAAGGTCAGTTTGGTTCGAACTGAAAACTGAAAGACAGCGCGTCACGTTAAACAAACTGCCTTGTTGACGTGTCGCTATGCTGCAGGTTCGTCAGCTGGAGAGGACGGTGAGTCTCAGAGACCTGTCCATCGTGGAGATGGAGGGGAAAATGAGGGAGATGTCTGCGGCCACGTACGACGGCATCTTTGTCTGGAAGATCTCAGATTTCACCAAGAAGAGACAGGACGCCGTGGCCGGCCGTGCCCCCGCTATGTTCTCTCCTGGTAACAGCTTCACATGATGGATAACATCTTGATTTATAATCCAGACAATGATGAGCTGTCTGTCTGATTAGCAGTGAATAACAGACATGATTATACTTCATTGGTGTTTTCCAGCCTTTTATACCAGTAAATACGGCTACAAGATGTGCCTGCGGATCTACCTGAACGGCGATGGGACCGGCCGCGGCACCCACCTGTCTCTGTTCTTTGTGGTGATGAGAGGACACAGCGACGCACTCCTCAAGTGGCCTTTTAATCAGAAGGTAACACTCAAAATTAATGTTACTGTATAACTAATTGTTTTTGAAATTAATACATTCATAAAACTAATGCCAGAAGTTTATTATTCAACATAGTTTAATGCTCTGTACTAGGAATGCCCCGATCACGTTTTCTTTTTTGCCACCGATACGATCATGTATGAGTGAGATCGGCCGATACCGATCACTTTTGGCAGACATTGCGGGGCTCCAAACTGCAACACATATGCGACTATTTTTTGTGAGTGTGTGAGTTAAAATAACACATGCAACGCTGTTTTGGTGCCCCACATTTACTGTGTTGTAGTTGAAAGTTTGTTTTTTTTTTCCCTCCACTGGCTCCATCGCTCTGACTACTTGAGCTTTCATCAGAATGCAGGTGCACACAGGGACAGACAGAGACACTGGGCTAACTCCGTACCCGTGGTTGCAGTATGATAGCAATGTTGTACCTGGCTGCTCCGTCCCCTTCCACATCATTTCATCATATTACACTAATATTTCACTAATATTACTAATATTATACTCTCCCAGTAAACCTAATAGCATATGAGTAGCATACACAGTCTCTAACAGCGCAAATAGCACAATTTTACACTGTAAAATCATTTTGCTTCGTGGTGAGTTTAAGGTCGCTGCGTGATAAGACGATGACAGACAAGACAGAGAAACACTGAATTCTTCAGACCATCGGAGCAAAGCGAGAAATATCCATAAATCTGTCATTGTCATTCATTCCCTTTCTGCTGCTCCTCTCGTGCCATGTGTACACAGACAGGTGTGTGAGTGAGTTACTATGGTTACCGCGACTCTGTGTGTCTCTGTCGCTCTGAAACTTTGTCATGATTCAGTAACAGGTTTTTAGGTTAGTGTGCTTTTACAAAAACCATAATGTAATTTTGTACCTCATTATTGAAATGTAGTGATATAATTTTACATTTTTGTTTAACATAATTGAAGAAGAGGAAGCCTGAGAGCCTCCTTCATGAAGAAATAGGCTGTATTTAAAAAAGGAGCGACTGAATCATGGCTGCAACCAGTGTGGAGTGTTAGTCTGGAGCCCTGCATTGCAGATGGCGTACATTATATGACTCTCACACACTTTGTAAAAGTTCCACACGGCCGACATGTTGTTTTGTTTTGTGGCCTGTCCTGCACCAGCACAGTGAACAAGGTGGGATGTGGGACTACACTAGTATTAACCACAGATGATCAGTTTTAACATGATCTGTGACTAGCAGCATAATTTGCAGATCTACCGTTCAAGTATTTTTAATGAAAATCGATGGATCGAAGAATCATGATCAGCGACCGATCAATCGGGGCATCCCTACACTGTACTTTTGGCGTCTTTTAGCTAACGTATTTCCTCAAATAAAAAAAGCTGGGTCTCCAATAATGGCCACTGGTGTGGTCAACACGAACAAGTAAATACTGGCTGGGAAAAAAACAAGGGTGGAGAAACGTCTGGTGCCTGTTATATAATGTGCACACCAGTTAAGAATAATGTATATTTCTACTGCTTTTATTGAATAAATTCAACAATATAATCATGCTTTTTTCAACAAGTTGCTGTTCTGGATTACTCATCTAAAGTTTTTGATTCATTCATTCTGATCCACTTTAACCTTTCACCTTTAATCCCATCTGGCTATTATTTGTATGGCATGCCTGCAAATGTTTCACAATAAAAGCCCTGTTAAGAAATGAAGTGGTTTCTGTCCACTGAAACATTGTAGGGCTTTTACTTTGAAACAGGAAGTGTTAAGTTGAGTTGTCATCGTACTAACAGCATAATGTAGTAACTTTACAAAGCAAACAGGAGCAGTCATCTAAAACCAATTATGCTCAGACAGAGGGAGGTGGAAATACAGACCTGCCTCAGATAAAGGCCTGTCACCATCGACTGTCGAGGTAAATAAAAACCTCGCCCTCTTTTTGAGGAAATACAGCATTTTTATTTTTAAAGGATTTTAACTCCAAAAGCACCATGTTGTTTTGCTCTGCTGTGTGATTCGGATTTACGTTCTTAGTGGGGTTTTAAACCAAAATGTATTTAATCAATTGATTTACCTTTTCTATGATCCATTATTAATTTGAATACATTGTTAATCATATTATAACCAACCCCTTAAAGTGTCATCGTGCTAAAACTGGAAGTGCTTTAGTGGGTCAGCTGCAGTTTTCCTGTCAGAGCAGATGTAAGGCTAGACTCCTAACATCTGTACCCAGGTCACCCTAATGCTGCTTGACCAGAACAACAGGGAGCACATAATCGACGCCTTCCGGCCCGACATCTCCTCCTCGTCCTTCCAGAGGCCCGTCAGTGATATGAACATCGCCAGCGGCTGTCCACTCTTCTGTTCGCTCTCCAAACTGGACTCTAAAAACTCCTACATACGAGATGACACCATATTCATCAAGGCCATCGTAGACCTCACTGGACTCTAGGCAAAAGATGAGAACATAAATGCAACCCCAGCCTTTTGTTGCTACTAACCTGTTCAAATCAACAGGCTTTTGTACCACCAGTAACGCTAGGGTCCGTCGAGTTCTTTTCGGATTAATGGCTGCAATATGTGAGACCAGAGCAGGAAACGTAACTTCTTTTTGGCCACTGGTCACCGTGGCTGTGGGTTTTTCAAAACCTCCTTAACCATAGTAACTGTTTAACCAAGTTTTTATTCGACAAAAACATTGATTACCTTCAGAGGTCACTGGAGGAGTTAATACAAAACAGTATATATGCTAATATGTGGCTGGTGGCACAGAAGCATTCCAAAACCTAGGTAGTATATTATACTTGTGAAATAACTAGAAAACTACGACACTGTCTCTAATCATTAGTGATCATCCTATGGCTTCTTGTACCATAGATGAGGCTCACCATCTTTTCTCACACAGAAAAATTACCTGATTTTTATTTTTTATTTTTTTAAGGTTTAAACTTAAAGTTTTAAACTGATTTCACAAGGATTTTATGTCCATTCACATTCTACAACAGAGTATTAGGGCCACATTGAGGAAAAGAAAATTTGAAATTATGAGAATAAAGTTGTAATTTTGAGAATAAAATCATAATATTTCAAGAAAAAAGTAATTATATTATAATAAAGTGGTAATTTTAGGTCACGTGTTGTTTTAGAGGGGAAATATCAGAAGCTTTAAAATGAGGAACGTGGAGCATCCTGTGAAGTTCTACTGCAGCTGAGGTTTCACAAACAAGGAGATACTTCATCTTTAGGCTCATCATCATCATCATCATCATCAGCACATTTAAAACATTGTGAAGAAAGAGTCTGTTCTATAGTTAGACCGACAAACAGCAGCTGCCAGTTTATTGGTTGATGTAATATTCCTAAAAAAGGTTTTCTCCCAAAATTTAACATTTTTTAATTCTCGTAATATTACAACTTTATTCTCATAATATTATGACTTTTTTTTCTTGAAATATTATGACTTTTTCTCAATGTGGCCCTTATACTCCGTCGTAACATTCAAATGTTGCTATGCTACAAGTAAATTCGGTCCTCCTGTGAGAAAAAGTTAGATATTACCACTAGTTGCTATTTAAAGCCAAAATAACTGGACTTTAACTAGTAGCTAGTATTATTACCACATATCGAGTGGCACACAACGCTTAAAGCTACATCATTCTTTTTTGAACTCCACAACAAGCTAAGGATTACACATTTGACAACTATGGCATTGAAAGTTTGACCTTGCGGCAGGCATGGCATTCAGTGGGAGAAGAGAAATATAAAGTCCGACATTAAATTCAAATCCAAAATTAGCTTTTTTGTGGGGTTTTGGTCTCGACCAACTCCTGAGAAAAATATCTCTCTTTAGCTTGCTAGTTGCTATGTTCACCAGCTAGTTGCTAACTCTGTCTGCTGTTCAGCACTGGGCATGTGGTGTACAGTGGGTTTATCAGAGCGTGATGCCTGCTGCTACTAAGAAGTGAGACTGAATCAAAACAGCAAAATTGTGGGTCGCACAATCAAAACAGCTAAAAGTTGATAAAAGGTATCAGATTATAATTATCTCCAGGTATGTCACCATGAGTGACTCCCCAAAAATTGCAAGTAGTTATTTGGCCTATTGTATTGATTGTTAATCTAAGAATATCGATAGTGCAGCTTTAAAGAAAACATCTGTCAACTACAACTTGCTTGTGATGCAAATTATATTTCTGTTATCCAATCTTCACCTGGGTTTTTCTATTGTATTTTTGTATTTTCATAGTTTGAAATTTCAAACACCAATACATTTCCAATTTTTTTTTTAAATTTAAAAACTGAAAATACTGAGCCATGAAAATACTAGCTATGTAGATTAAACAGCCTACAAGAACAGCGATAGATCAAGCAGGTGGAGGCATGTACTGCCTGATATTTGATTAACTGATTGTTTTTGTTAATTGGAGTTCCAGTGTGACGCCATGTAGCCTTCAGAGTATCAGCTCAGCTTTGCACACGGTTTGTAGTGCAGTTGGAATTTTTTTTTTTTTTTTTTTTTTAAACTTGTTTATAGTTTCTTAACATCTATGCCTCCAACTCGAGTCCTGTGTTCATTGGTAATCATTTGTGGTGGTGGACATTGTTTGAATTCCATGAATTCTGAGTGCAGTATTTCAGCTGTCAATGTGTGTGTGCGTGTGTGTGTGTGTGTGTGTGTGTGTGTGTGTGTGTGTGTGTGTGAGTGAGAGTGTGTGTACGTGTACATTTCTTTGCTGTGATTTGCAGTTTTGGTTTCATGTTGGATCTGTGGATGATGCACTGTATCTTACAACAGTTTCTGGGTTGTTTGTCCAAGAAACCTGAACAGTGATGGTGGTCAAGCTGATTTTGCCCAAATGGAAATATGACATATTTTATTATAAATAAAAACATGTATTTGCATACAAGTTCTAATAAATTCAATAAATATCTTTTGATATTAAACTTTGGCTTTTTTCAATATTTGTTGTTTGCATATTTACAGCATTTTGACCACCTTACCAAGGATGTATTCAGTTCCGTTTTTAGCAATTTATAATATTTAATAACATGCATATGTACAAATATTGAAATGGCCAAAAGAATATTGAATATAATATAATACTATCTTTATGCACACATGTACCAACATGAGAGGCATATCAAAAATATGTCCATTGGCAGTTTCTTCTCAAAATATTTTAGTTTTTATCTACGTTGCCTAAATTTAGTTCTCCAAACTTGTTTGTAATGACCAAAATACACACATTTTTATCCCCCAAATATAATAATATTATAAACGGTAATATGTGATGGTTCAGAATTTGGTTCACCTTCAGACCCTGTGCCCTTAGACTCCTTTGTCTTTATGTAGGAAAAAACAGTAACTGTATGACTGTTATCATGCATGATGGGTTATCTACATCAAACCCTGAGTATACCATGTGGTATATTTGAAACTGGATTCATCAGATGAGACAACTATCTCAATTTACTGTAAGTGTTTAATGGCTTGGTTTACTGGCAATGAATTGTGAACAATGTTGATGAATGAAGGGCCACCTCTGACATGGTGTCTGTTATTCAGGTCCATTAATTGTACATCTTTGAGATTGCTGCTTTATAATAGTCTCTGTTAGTTACCTCATTTACTCAACACTTCATTGGAAACATGGGGCACAGAGATATATTCATCAATCTCCAAAGAATAGGCAATCTAGGGAAACCCAGAAAGGTCAAACTGGCAAATTCTTGTTTTGTCTCGTTATCTCGAGATAACGGATAACGGAGCTTTGTTTTCTCGAGGTAACAGGATAATTATTCCATGATCTCGACATAACAAAGCTCCATTATCTCGAGATAACGGGATTAAAAAAAAAAAGTATTTGTAAGTATGACCTTTCTCGGCTGTCCAGAAATTTGCAAAAATTCTCAGACTGATATATTTTCTAGTCTTACTTTCAGGACTAGGAGGAAAAGCATTTAATGAACTTTCTTAACCCTGGAAATCACTGCTCAATCTCAGCCATTATTTATGACTATCAACTTAAAACACAGTTTTTGCAACAAAAAAAAAAATCATGTAATTTTTTGACAGGCCTTGTGCAAAAGAGAGTGTATGCACTGTCAACAAAACCTCACAGCCACAGGGAAAATGCAGCTGATTTGGTTATAATACTGACAATAATTTCTACAGTGATAAATCAAACTTTGATATTTGAGATATGTCCAAATGATGTAATGCACAATAGTGACATTACAGAAATGATCAATTTTCTCCACCTTTGACATTTACATACAGTATGTTAAGCGTAGTTGAAAGATAAATTGAACAGTGGAAAAATAAGATAACTGCAATGTAACATCATTGCTGGGTGCGTGTGCAAGGTGCACAATACATGCACAGTGTGACACTATTGCAGGCAGCGTAACGAGTTGTAATTCGATGACTAGGTTAAGTGAAGCAGTATTGACTTACAATCACTTCACTGATAAATATAATGAGACTTGATTTAGCTATTGATTCAATTTGCAATTATATTTTTGCATATAAAATGTAAGCAGCTTAGTCACTTATATTGTTTGACCATATACATTAAGTCTGCACATAGAATGTTATTTTCTATATATGTCATTTTTCATTATTTAATATCGCAGACAGCAACTGTCAGAAAAACACGTCGTCATATTTTCAGCTGAGATTTTGTAAAACACTGACATCACACTCTCTCATACTCTGAGGCAGGAATGCTTTAACTTTCAGTGCAGTTCAATTAGGATTGATTCTGAGATTCAAATTTTCAGTCTACAAGAGGAACAGACCATGTGATGTAGGTTTCCTTCCAGCAGAGAGCGCTCTAAACCTTCGCTCTCAGCTTGACCCAAAGCACGCCCTACTGGCCCATCAGTAAACCAAGCAGCTAGCAATGTTATTTTGTTTGTCAGACACCAAAGCATCTGAGAAGCAGTGTGTGGAAGTACTGTAGGTCCTACACCGTAGTAGCTTGCCACCCGAGAGAAGCAGCACATGGAGCGATGTCAGGTGTCATGTGTAATTTAAACTTCATTCAAACTTGATTTTAGGAATAAAGTGACAGCCCTATTCTGACATGCTTGATAAATAGAGGCTCAGGCTCAGAGGCGGAACCAGAGGGGGTGGCCAGGGGTGGGATATGAAGGTGATAGATAGTTGGCTGGTTCGTAACGGAACCTCAGCTAATGTTTCCTGTTTGAAAGTTAACAACAAAGAAAAGCAAAACATGTGACGCAAAACAACCTCAAATGAACACAAAACATCTAAGAACTGACCACGACGTGACACTGAACTACCACAAAGAGACGCCAAACAACTACAAAGATGCACTAAATGACTACAAACAGTGTGGTGGTGTTTGTAGTTGTTTTGTGTCTCTGAGGGCCTCAAAGGGCTTTAAATCTGAGTTTAAACACAGTTTTCCTTCTTTTAATCTTGATTCATTTTACAATTAAGCCTTTGTGAGCCAGTTTCTGTTGTGATATGTCAGATCATCTGTGTTTTTCTCTATGATCATGATCAAGCATTTCATTTGGAGACTCCAAAAGATGCCTTCTGAGTTATTTCATTACCTTAATTAAAATTTGTCAGCTGTGTGTGGATATGTAGCTTAGTCAGT